ACAGGTCAAGGCCTGAAAGTCAAGTTTACTCAGCCTATAAATATGAAGTCCATTTGCATAATGGAATAACTTATTACAAATGAAATAAAAGTCATTGGTTGAAACGTGTATTTTCCTCACTTAACAGCTGAAGAATATGCTCAAAAAGTTAATTTGCATATGCTCATTACTGATTTATCAAAAAACAATCCTGTGTTTTGCGTTTAACAATCTTTTGGCTTAAAATCTAGTATTAGAATCGACAGTATACGACTAAAAACACGAATAATGTAAAATGTTCTTAGCTCGAGAAACTATCGAATTATGTATGTATGTTGATGAAAACTTAAAAAACTACACAACTTTTCGTCTTAAATTTAGAAATGAACATTCAATAATTATTTGCCAGCCGTGAACTTGGAAAGTTTCTCCAGCAAACCAATATAAGAGGTGTGCTCGTGAGCGGTGGCTAGGTCGGAGAGTTTCTCGGCAAATTCATTGCTAATACCTTTCTCTTCCAGAATGTTCATCAACAGATCATACAAATAGCCATCGAGCACATCTCCAGCAACTGCATACACTTTGTCATTCCATTCGCCTTCAAAGATCGACATTTCATCTATAGAAAACACATCGTTATATTCACCCTCCTGTGCTTCGCCTTCCAAGTAGGAGCAAGTAAACGATAGGGTGGTGTTGCCCTTAATGATGTCCACTTCAAATTGGGGCTTGCTACGCATTTCACCCAATTCTGGTTTGTCGGCATTAGGATTAATTTCGGGTTCCTGCTCGCTGTCAACAGTATGGTTCACATTGAAGCTAATGACGACCTTTTCTTTGTCCGTTTCCTTGGTCAGCTCGACATCGGCGCCAATGAGTTTTACGTTGAAGCCTTCCAGTGTGCTGGGCACAGTCTTGCCTTTTTGCACCTTGCGCTCAGCAATAATCTCCTCGGTAAGGAACTCGACCAGCTCACGTTCACCTGTGGATATAGACAAATTATTGATTTAGGTTCAATTTCAAAATATATTTCTGGATGTCGTTAGCTGCACGTTTGTGAGGTTATGTAACTATGGAGAAACATGCGCCAATGTGTTAGGAACACGGGACCTGCATTCTTTAATGAAAAGCTCACCTTTAGTGTGCACATTGCAGCCACAAGTGCAATTGATGCTGGGCTTATGCACATTTAACACAGTAACGTGGTCACCACCCACCGCCGGCTTTTTGGTCATGTGCCACAGGCTGCGTGTAAAATCGCGTTTGCCCAATGCACCAGCTGTGGCGCTGGCCAAATTGGCAAATCGCATTGTTGCTGTCTTCAGGCTGTTCATCTTGTTATATAAGATATCAATTTATTATGATAATAATTGAAAAATGTGCTGCCGCTTCCGTGTTGCAACTTGCAATGGTCTTACATATGCCGATATCGATATGTTTAAATAATAAATCGATATACAATTTACATAAAATATGGTTTTTCTTTTTAAATAAGGTGGCAGCACCTTGTCAGTTGGTCAGTTCGATCAAATGGATGAAAACATCAATGAAAAACTGCTTCTTGAAGTTGAGGAAGATGACACATATCAACATCCCTGTTGCCCGCATGGACCCACAGTGCTCTTTTATCGCCAAAGTCAACAACCCAGCGATGGTTTCTATGCCTGTTCTGCATACCGTAACCCTAAGCTTTGCTCCTTTCGCATGGATTACGAAAAATGGAAAGGTAGCCAACAGAAACAAGCGCAAGATATCCGCGCCTATCCCCAGCAACAGAACGATGCAGATCCCGATCCCACAAGTCACCTAAAAGCGCTATCGCAGGACGATGTGCATGCCCAATACTTTTTCGATCAACAGGCTCTCAGATTCTTTGCAGATCAGTGTCGTTTGCTGAAAATAGAGTAAGTTCTAATACATCAGATTTTGTTTGAATTATGCTCTTACCTCTGGTTTTTTTTTTAAGTAAAGTGATCTGTATGGGCGCTCCACGGCTTCACTTCCATCTGCGGCGTATCTGTAAAATCCAAAGTTTTTTGCTTGACTTCGATGAGCGTTTTAGTAAATACCTGAGTCCGCAGGAATTTTGTCTATACAACATGTGCAACAATCACTTTTTCTACCACCGAGAGCCATTTGAGAGATTCTTGAAATGCAATAAGTAATTTGTTAATGGTATTATTAATACAGAAAGTTAATGTTCTTAGAATTTTAGGGACGAACGCGTTTTAATTATCACGGATCCACCATTTGGCTGTAGAACCGAACTAATTGCCCACACGCTGCGATCTCTGATGCGTCTCCATAATCGACTCAATCATCTGCCCGTCACGCCGCTGTCCATATTTTGGGTGTATCCATACTACATGGCAAACTACATAAGACAGGATATGCCCGAGCTACAAATGTGCGACTATAAGATCAATTACACGAATCACAGTCGATATACGAATGTGGGCAACTCCAAGCGTTCCTATGGCTCGCCAGTGCGTATCTTTACCAACGTACCGCTTGAGCTGTTGCGCCTACCGCCTGGCGAAGGATACAAACATTGTGATAGATGTCAACGTGACACGGCCATAGAGAATGTGCACTGCGATCGCTGTCGGAATTGCTGCTCGCAGAATGGCCAAACCTATCGGCACTGTCAGCTCTGCGATATGTGCGTAAAACCAAATTATGTACACTGTTCGAACTGTCGCCGGTGCTGTCAACGTGTTGGACACGACTGTGGATTATATCAGTCTATGCAGCATTGCTGGTTATGTGGCCAACGGGGTCACATTGAGAGTAACTGTCAAATCTGGTCACAACTTTCACGGCAGACCAAACGACGGCAGTCACAGCGGGATTGTTGCCTTATTTGTGGAACGCGAAGTCATCGTGAAAAGAACTGCTCACGGCGCTGTAGTTACTTCAAGGAATTCGAATTTATGGGACAAACTTTGATAAAAGCACAAGATCGAAAGTCAATGTTAACACGGAATAAAGCCAAAATTCGTAAACCTCCTACAGTATAGTAAAATATGGCGTTTGTTATTTTTTCTCGTTTAATACCAAATTCATTTGATCTTAACACTTTTTTGTAATTAAACTATTGAACTGCGTCAATGACAAAAGCGCGAAAGTAATGCACATGAACATGACCACCATAAATTGTGGAATGGATAATCTGCTACAAACTCCAATTCAACGAAATTTGCAGCAAAGTAAATAGAAAATTTTGACAAATTATGTTTACAATTTAGTAGTTCATCAATTAACGACGGGTAACTTAAGCTTAGACAATAATTAATTTCAAGTGGAAAACACTAATGCCTCAACAAACGGGATGCGACTATTTGTTGTTATTGATGTTGTTTTGGCAACAGTTTGTTTGAAATCTGATGACGTCGACAATTGGGTCGCAGTGCGCTTCCGTTGAGGTGAAAGTATTTATTTTCTAATATGAACTGTCTAAGAACGGTTGTATTTTCCCCAAATGTGCAGCATGAAGACTGAGGCGATGAATAGCAGCGACATAACCAGAACTGGAACTGGACCACTGTTAAAAACAAATAAACAATTCGGTATTAGTGAACGTCACTAATTTTGTTGAGGAGTAGTTTCGCTTACACTTTAATGCCGGGTGAATCGTCTGTGTAGAAACGCCACATTCCACCAGTGCCTGCTCCGCCAGGAGCACGACTTCTGGCCGCTGTTGTTGTTGTTGTCTTTCGCTGCTTCAAGGTGCTACCACCACCAGCACCAGCGCTACGTGGCGCCGACAATTTACTGGGCGAGCGTGAACCGCTACCAACGGACGTTGAACTTGCAGGAGCAGGCTGTAACAATCGACACCAACTTTTTAGTATTTACTTTTAAATTTAATTACAGTTTTCACTTACCATTCTAATTTATGTGTTTAATTGTAATTAAAGGCAAATGCACACTAAGTCCGTGAGTGCTGCGTGCTGACCTGGAAAAGTGTTGAAAGCGTTGAAATCAGTTTGACGTCTGTTCGTGTCAGTTTCGTGTTCCACGTCACCTGCCATTCACCCGTAAACGGAACTTTGACAGCAAATACTCGATAAGTTTTCTCAAATTTTCGATTACAGTCAGTATCAAAACAATTTGATGGCGGCTTTTGCAGGTAGATCAATTTACGGAGTACAGCGCCAACAAATTGCTAGCGGTGATGACATATGCTATCGATATTATTTATCGCAACTATCACTAGTCGTATCTCTTAAAATATTGTACAAGAAGTTAGAGCACTGACCAGACAACACATAGATGAGACATGTAGAGCAAACGTTTTCAGCGCCGAAAATATGTCGATGAGGGACTGCTTAACATCGTATTTGCTCGACTCAGTCTCTTGCGGGTCGAGCCGTGAAAATATAGCACGACACAGCCAGTGCGCTGCGAGCGCTCTGAAAAAATGGTCCAAATGGTAAAAATTGGGATTGTATTGATCAATAAATTTATAGTATGGTTAAGTCTCAAATTCTAAATGTAACATACAGTTGAAAGGCAGTCATTAATTTTGATTCGATTTCCATTCAAATGTTCCTAAACAGCATCAGTTTATAAATCTTTTATTCTTTTTAAATATAAATATATATTTAATTATTTATTAGAATCCTGTGTATAATAATTCTAACAAATATTTAAAAATTTCTGTCTTTAGCAGTTGATTTTCATCGCATTGTAATTTTAATGAGCTATCGATTAGCTATATCACTATCGATATTAATGGAAGCATACACATACTCTTATATGTCCATCCCATCTCTAAAAAGTTATTGTAATTGTAAAACATTAATTTTAACATTGGGCGCTGTGTTCGCAATTTCTTACTGGTTTGCACGAACGGCGTAACATTTTGCTGCATAGTTGCTATGGTGCGCAAATGTATACAACAATCCGATAGTGACAAACATATACTTAAAGAGTAAATGCAATCGCTACATCGCAAGAGCCAAATAAAAAATAAATAAAAAAAACGAAAAAAATCTAAATATATGCGGAAAAAATAGTTTTGTGAAAATGGACGATATAGAAATAGAATATCTAGACGAATATAAAGACTTAGTTCTACCAGGTGAGTGGAATATTTGAAGATATGTTGAAATACGTTTGAAATACATATCTCAAATACGTTTGGTTTGTCAGGCATCAAAACAACCAGCGAAGGACGCATGCAGCAAGCATTGACGCGAACGCCGCTCAACAGACGTATATCGTCCGATTCGAGTGGTTCCTCGTCCATAGATCCAGATATTTTTCAGAAACTATTTGACGGCAAATTTCTTGACGACGAGTTATTAACTGAAAGTAAGAGTCTCATATAAAAACCAATAAAGTTGATTTCTACTAAGTTGCCGCTCTTGTATTTAGGCGGTCCAAATGCGAAGGGTATCCCTCGGCGTCGGGTGAGCTCTTCATCGAGCGACTGTAGCGATGCTCTGGCTGCACTGTACAATCGACAAAGCAGCAAAGGCAAAGGTACAAGACGTGATCGGCTCGAATCATATGACTCAATTGATGATTTGGGTAAGTGCTTTGTTTGTATGTAATAGAGAACGCTCGTTTACAACTTGTTTTCTTATTTAGGTGATGCATTAATGGGCCCCACCCACAAGTCGTTATCAAAGTCATCATCGTCGCAGGCAGCAGCAAGAAAGACTCTAAGTCATAATGGCATGGACAGGTCCAAAAGTACAAGCAACAAGGCCCAATTATCTGCAACAAAGCGCAATAATCTAGAAAGCTTAAAGCATGAAATTAGGCCTAATGACAGAAGCAGCAGCAGTAGCTCTTCAAACCTGCCCATGCTGCACAAAAAGAAAGCTGTAACCATTATAAAAGCTAAGAAACCAGACTTGAAGCCGCCCAAAGATGAACCCAAAGAGGATCCTCTAAGTAGGTATATTATAATTACAGTCTGGCTTTTTGACTAACCGTGGGTAAATTGCAGATTTGCGAGAATTCTCTGATAACACAGACAGCGATTCATCTTATGAATACGAATCCGATTTCTATGGCTATGGCGATTCAGATGATGATGATGGTGAGGTATCGAAGCAAGTTATTGATATATCAACGGATAGCAGTACGGTGACATCATTGGCGGGTAAGTCGAAGTTGCACAACTAGTTGATACTGCCAACCCTCTGATTATATTTATAATGTGCGTAAAACAAACCGTGTAGACACTGTGACACCTGTTGTTTCCGAAGACGAGAGCCTGAAGCAGCAGAAGCAGCAAACACCAAACGCCCAAAACGATCGTCTCCAGGTCTATCTAAATAATCTAAGTAGTGCCGAAACGCCACCATCTAGGCATAAACATACAAGCTCTGCCAAGAAATCGCACTCCCACGAAAATCAGTCCAACGCATCAGCACAAAAAGATCAGGATCAGGATCA